AATCTCCTATCAGCAGAATATAAAATGTGGTAACTCCAGTGGAAAAGACAAGTATATGATAGGGTTACATGTATGCAGGAAGAGTCTGGATCTAATTATTGCCTCAATTCAGCATTTAATTCCCTGATGAAATATATCATACTTTCAGAAAGAAATTAAAACAAATAAATATTGAAAGTTTTACCCTCTCAGGCCTTCTTAGATTCTCTTTTTATACCTAAGTTTAGGTCTGAATTTCACTAACATTCTTCCGCTCTCAGACTTTTCTACTTGTGTGTATCTCAGTGCTGTCAGTACTACAGTTGTGTTGCAAAGATCACTTGTAGCCAGCCTGGTACCCTGCAAAGCTTCATGTCTGAGTGGTGTTTCCTTCGGAAAGGAATAATATGGTTTTAGATACTTAAGAGCTCTTTTTTTTTTTCCTAAAATATCAATTTTTCTAATATTGTATACAAAAGATATGTATATAATGACTAAAAGTGAACTGTGAAAGAGTCAAAGGAATGGGCGATAAAAGCCTAGTTAAAAAAGGTCTAATAATCAAATTTATAGATAGAAAGTGGGGGGGAAAAGGCTATATAAAACCATGCTGTCTTTTTTAGCATCGCACGTTTTAGTATTGAGCTGTAAGGTCTGTGCAAACAAACTCATACATTATTGCATTTAGGTGGCACTTGGTGTTTTTTTCTTCCCACTGATCATTGCTGAAGGGTTATGAGTAACGCGTCAGCGCTAAGTCTTGGCAGCCCTTGGCAGGGAACGTTGACGCTGCCCTTCCCCCGGGTGCCCCCCTGCCATGAGGTGGCCTGCCCCGGGGTGTCCCCCTTTGCGCTCCGGCTCCTGGCACCCCGTGTTCCTTCAGCACGGCCGTCTGCCAGGACCTGCGTTTTTCCTTCCAATTACCGGTACTTACGAAAAGGGCCCCCCGACCAGAGGGAGGCAGCTGTGAGGCCAAGGAAGCGCTCCGTCCTTTCGGACGCTGCTCGGAGCGCTGCCCGTGCGGCTGCCACCCAGCGAGTCCCTTGCTCCGCTCTCAGCGTGGGGATTCTCCCGAGCCCCGGTAATGTCTGAAGTCTAGCAACAAAGGGCGTTCGCCTGCTTGTTTAATCGCAGCTGTCGCTAGATCCTAAAAGAAAACAGAAGCGTGTCTTATCGAAACATTAGGCCTTTCATTGCCTTCATATGATATTAATTGCAACAACAACAAAAAAGCCAGTAATCTTGAAAATGAGCTTTTGCCAAGCAAAGTAACCTTCTAGTTCCGCCTCATCTCTGGAACAGTTTGCAGAGGTTTTTTTTTTTTTTTTTTTTTCCCCCCTTTAAATGAAGTAAAGCCTAATGAATACTGTATAAAATTATAGCTCATGTGCAGAATGGAAACTAGATCTTCTCTGGAGGATTTTTGCATAACCACATTTCGTCTGCCCTTGCGGTGGGAGCTATCAGTGCTGGGATTGCACTGATAGGAAATAAATTGTTGCAAGTCCTACCAAAGTAAATGCAGTCTGGAGAGAGGCTCTCCCACGGCAGAGGTGGTGGTGCAGGGATTAATAGAAGGTTGGAAGTACTACTTGGATGTAAACTTGGGGTTTGTCGCTGAGGGATCATAACCTGGACTTTTCTACAGGGAGCGTTGCAAGGAAGAGGGCACATAAGCTGAGTCCCAGTGTCTTGTTTGCAGCTATAGAAATGGGATGTATGCATCCATTCCTGTGAGATGGATGCAGATCTGTCCTCCAGTTTAAAGTCAATCTGCCTCAGTGGTACTTTTTACTCAATTGCATGGCACTTAATTCTTTTGTCCTCAATGACTCACAGTTTAGGGAGGGAGACTGAGAAGGTAATTTAATTTAAAGTCATGCACTGCCATTTTACTGATTTATAAGCCATAATGTACTTTTATTAAAATTTTCAGCTGATACTTAATTTTATAAAATGTGGAAGTGCTGGCCTGTGCTTTGAAGGTCAGGGGAAATGTAAGTCATTTTTGGTATCATTGATCAAAGAATTGTTTATATGTAGGCACTGAGTTTAGGGCATTAGGGTGCTGGTGACCTGTGAGCTGATTAAAGCATTATGCTGAATAAGCAATTAACATGATGGCTTTGCACGTTTTACTGCTTTAATACATTATCTATTAAACTCAGACTGTCAAATCTATTTTGCGTGTATTTAAGCTTGTAAAAATGCCTGCAGTCTATTATTAGCTCTTGTTTAAAACTTGAAATAAATATGTTTAGACTAAAAGTTTCAAACTGAATGTTTTAATGGGTTCTTGAGTTCATTCTTAGTCATTGAACTAAGCAGAGCTTGATTCTCAGAAGTCCTCACAAGCTGCAGTGCATTTGGTAAAATCTGCGAAATTGTACAGGGGTTGATGCCCTCAGGATCAGGCCAGGGATAGCAGAGAAAAGGGCTGATAGAGAATATTCACAAAGGGGAAGAGGAGAGAAACTCCGGAAAAAACTGAGTGAGGGAAAGCAGCAAGGGGCAGGCATGGAAGTAGCGCTGATAGAGTCAGCTTACTGGGAGGGTAAATCCTACCCCTTGGATAAAAACCTGGCCTGTTGCACCCCAACTTGTCTGAGTTTGTGGTGTGCACGTGCTCTTGGTAGCCCACATGAAGTCTGGAGAAGGCAGTGGCCGCCTGAGGAAGCACCTTGCAGTCTGTGCCCGTTTTTATCTCATCACCCACTTCATCCAAGCCTATGCCCAAGGAAAACAAGGAAAGCGGTTTATTAGGAGGGTCACACACTGTCTTACGGAAGGAATTGGAAACAATGCCTAGAAGCTTAGCTCCAGTGGCTGACCAGCGCTCTGTGACTTCTTTTCAGGTTTTTAGGAGAAATTTATTTTTTCTCTCCCACTAAGCCAGAAACAAAAAGGGAGAAATTTATGGCCATGCCAGCTTCTACCACAAAGTTTGAGAAATATGATTTTCTTGAGATGATTGTTTTGGGAGATGAATTGGCGAGCATGCTCTCTCTTAGTTTAAGCTTTCAGGCCGAGAGTGTCTTTTGAAACTCTTTAAGCACCTTATTGCTTTCATAGATGCTCTGAAAAGTGAGACGGCTCTTCTAGGACTCGGGATTTCTTTGGCCTTGCATCGACCTTGTCTGTGCTAGATCTGTGGAAGGGTGTGCTCCATAACAAACACCCAGCTAGCTCATTCCAAAGCACCTTTTTCTTCAGATCCAAATGATGTTGAGCAGCATTCCTTTCAGAGAAAGATAAAAGGTCCAGGCTAAGGAATACAGCTGGCTAGGGCTTTTTCCGCTGAAGAAGGCTGTTCTGGCAGAAAGATAATTTACTGGGACTGATTTCCACAAAAGTCTTACTGGGAAAGTTTTGTATGTCCCCAAAGAAACCTGGTCAGAAGGAGAAAAGTAAAAAATCAAAAACCCTTAAAGAAATTTCTTATAAGAACAAGAAAACTACATGGGACGTAGTTTTCCAGTGCCCGAATTACTACACATACTACATGTAATTCGGGCACTGGAAAAACATGCAGGAGTTTGCAGTGTCATGTTGCCTGTGCATGTGTGTTGTTTATAATTGCTACTCACTGAACCCTTGTTATCCAGTTGTTTCTGTTGGTAATATGGATGCTTTGGATGTTTCACTTGCTTGATGTCCTCCAAAGCATTTTTCAGTTACAGAGTCCTTTCTCTGTGTGTGATGATTTGCCAGAAATGATTTTTCACTACGCAGAAGCACGTCCAACCTTAATACAACTGTGCAGTATAGAACTGTTGAGGTGAAAAATGGTAGATTTTTATAAAGGCAGCCTGTGGAACTTTTCTCCATCAAAAGCCACTTAATTAGGGCCACATAGCTGATACAAAAAGCCATGATCTGAAAGGTTTTTGAATGCTCTCCTCAAACCTGAGTGTCATTGCAACCTGTGAGCTCCCTACTAGGTATCAGAGGCACCTAAATCTGTCGGCTGCCTCACTGGTACGTGATTGAGACATGAGAGGTAGTAGGTTTGGTAGACTGTGCGAGAAAGAAACTGGCTGAATTTCCAACCCAAAGTAATCATTCTCCAGATTGCATTTGGGCCAATATTTAGTATTCTCATTATGTGCTTATATTCTAGAAAGTCTGCGTTGTGCCTGTGAAACAGAAACTGCCTTTTCTCTGTGAAGAGAAGTCCCACAGAATGGCTCTTCTGTGTTTGTAGGATTGTGAGCAGAAGGGATTGAACATGTGGCAAAATTAATAACTGGGTAGCATTCATACTTTCATCCCTAATTAAAGCCAAGTGGGTATGTGAAATACATTTCCCCAGGGCTGTGGTGGGGGAATATCCACACATGTAATTAATGTAGCTGCTGGAAGTCACAATTTCAGCACTAAAATAAAGCAGAAAGAGACACCAGTGAACAATATGAGCACACTGCAACATTCATTGAAGTCACTGGGAAACTTGTCTTTTGACTTCAAAGGACGTTAGGCTGAACCTTGCAAGATCATATTAAAACACTTAGAAGTCATTAAGCACTTATTCTTGCCATACTGCAGTAACAGAGTTAGAAAAGCTATAGGTGGATTTTAATTTAATCAACGGCTTATACTTTTAATTGCTTGGTGTTTACACAGTTGGTTACATACAATTGGATTAGGCGGTGATTTGCCTGATGATTTATTGTGTTTTGCTGTTGCTTGATACTGTAGGTTTTTATAGCCTTGTTTCTGCATATATGTAGTCTTCTCACACACGGATACAATTCTCCTTTAAGTTATTACACATGAGTTTTTGTGAGAGCAGAATTAATAACTTCTGTGTGTTTTACTATTGTTATTTTGTAAGCTCAGTATGGCCCAACCCCTGCCCCTTGGGGTGGGATTGTTGGAGGGCCTGAAGTCATCCAGCTCCCTTCCCCACAGAGGATTACCATCCTTTTTAGGTGATGGGAATGGGATCACATAGCTGTCCAACTTTTGTCTGGCACCACTGCTGCCGTCTTTGGAGTTGGCTAGTATTTGTTCCTGAGAACATGGTGGTACCAACCACTCCAGGCATCGCTGAATCTGAACTTCGGGTACAATAGGTTGCCACTGGCTATAGGGAGGTCCGGAGATGGCTGGAGTCATGAGAGTAGAGGAGGGTTAAACTTAGTTGATCACCAGGCTCACGTGATGATCAGTGAATTGGCCTTGGTTTCAGGAGAGGTCTGTGTCTAGTCAAAGGATTAGCAGAGAGCAAATGTTTGTCCTGAGACGGATCAAACAGTGTCATCAGAAGACCAGTTAGTGCGAGGCTCCTCCGTGTCTGGAAGGTGCTATTTAAATTGTGTTATATCTAAATTACTTGTGCTTCAGAGGCTGTGTTCAGAGAAGACTACTAAGAATAATTCAGGTTGCAACTCAAAGTTGCTGATCTGGCCCATTTGAAGATTTCTCAGATTGTTTAAGGTATTTATTTACTTCTTCAAATTCATCTGTGTTGAATTCACATGAAAAGTTTTAAGAAGCAACAATTTAAAGGTAATGTTTGCCTATGGACAGGTAGAGTGTTTGCCATGTCTGTTTTCTGGTCGGATTGGATTTGAGAAGTCTAGACAGAGCAGAGCACAATCAGCATTTCATCTTTTCACAGAAAAGGGGCCTCAGGCTTTGTGGGTTGTGGCAAATGGCATGAGTTTTGTGGCTTGGGCTCAAAGAACAAGAAAAGGCAATCAATAATGAAGATGTCTCCCATAAAATAAGGAACGCGGCACAATTCAATGCATCTGGGAGCTCTTTTATAAGCAAGCCTAGATTGTAGCAATTAGAGAAACTGAAAACACTTGCTGTATTTCCTGGAAGCGTTGCTGCCCTGACTGTAGGGAGACGGACAAATTCTGCTTTGGGACCCAGGTTGGAAGATGGCTTTTCTTCTTGCTTTGTGTTTTTAGCCTTGCTTTATAGCTGCATCAGTACCTTTAGCCATTTATTGAGTTCAATGATGCTGGAAAAAAAAAATATGATTTTTTTTTTCTTCTAATGGCTTGATGAGCTAACTAGAGGTGATCTCTATCTAAGTCTGGGGTTTAGAAGCCCTACAGATGAAGCTTTACTCTTCCCTGCAAATTTTTGCTGCACTAATGGTAATAACACCCTAACTAATTATATCTTTTAAGAAAACATTTGTGCTTATTGAAAAATACCTGGTTTTACAGCTGTAGCAAATGTGCCAGTGGCTGCCAATGACTAATGAAACTGTGTAATGGAACTGCCTTTTTATATATGTATAAATTGGTTTAAACAAGAATTTCCACAGGTAAATTTTACACTTTTTGTTTGTTTTTGTTTTTCAGAAAAGAGTCAAAGACGTGATATCTCCAATTGTATTTGAAGCTGCATACAGCCTTGGAGAACATGTGATAGAAAGAGGGAAAGAGGAGAAGGAACTGCCAGCTCTCAAGCCCGTTCTCCGCTGGAAGAAGGGAGAGAAGATAGCGCAAAGGAACCAGGTCAGCCTCGCGCTGTGTTAAGCTGCACGTCTGTCTTGACCTCACTGATACAATTTGTTGTCCGGTTTTGGCTGGTTTTGATAGGAATGATCAGGGCAGCACTCAGGAAGGTGTTAAGTGTTCATGAAAACAGGCGGTCATGTTGAGGGGAAAAACCTGTTTGTGGCCATTTGAGGGAAAGACTAGTTTGATCCCAGTCTTTGGAAAGACAGAGGCAGAAAAAACCCACAGCCCTTTCATCTCCTGTCATGCCACGGCAGAGCATCCATCTGTAAGGCTCAAAACTCCTTAGGGAAATCCAGTTTCTTCCCTCCATGGCTTGCCATAGCGCATGCTCATCAGCACTGCAGAATGATTTAGCTTGAGAGGGACTTTCGGAGATCCAATTCCTTACTCAAAGCAGAGCCAGGCTTGAGTTAGATCAAGTTGCTCAAGGTCATATCTAGTCAAGTTTGTTTTGTAAAATGTTCTTACAGAGCTATGATCTGGTATTGCTTCTGAATATAAAACTTTTATTTATTTGTTTGTTTATTTATTTTTCCCCTTCTCTTAGACCCTGGAAAGCTTGCCTGCAGTTACAGGCTTTTAGGAGTGGATTGTGAGATCTAGTTTTTAGCCTAGGCAAGTTTATCATCAGCAATATATTAAGCGATGCTTTGATTATCATGCACTATATTTCTGTCTGATGTTAACCATAAGGATATATTGTTCTGTGGAAGTCTGAAGGCTACTGGAAAAAAGTAATTAAAAGAGATTGCTTAAAAAAAATCTCTTGTTTAAAGAGATTTGCCTTGTCATGTATCCAGGTGTTTTGAATTGTGTTTGGTTATAATCCTTAAAGAAATGATTATTTAGGAAAATATGCCTTATTTTTGCAAATGAATGAATAATATTTGAATTCAACTTTTTTTTTTTTTTTTTTTTTTTTTATAAAGAGAGATTTGTGTGACCGTTAAGTATCTGCCTATTATATTGTTGCAGAATGGATGGTAACTCTTACAATCACATATTCATATAGGAATCTAGGTGCTTTACCACCAGATCTAAGCTTGATAAAGTCCTATTTAACCCTGCAGGCGTAGTCCCAGGTCCTTACTGAAATACCTAAATGTTGAGATTATAAACAGAAACAAAAATATGTTGGGAATATCCCTGACTTATTTTCTTGTGTAATGCGGATGAGCAGGAGCCAGTGCAACAATCCCATTTGCTTTCCAGATGTTGCTCACTTAGCTCTGTGAGAGAAGGGTTTTGACTTGGGGTGTGACTGGAAGCCTCTTTCCGCCAGGGAAGTGGGCAGAGTTTCAGATTTACTGTGGCAGTCATGGTGATAAAGCCCCGGCGGTGTAGCCTCGAGGCGTAGTTCTCAAAGGCTGATTTCATGGGAAAATCATTACTTGGCCTTCTCTTTCAGGCTTCTCCTCGTGTTGCAAGTAGAAAGTATTTTTAAAGAGCAAGAGCCACAGAAGCAAAGTTTTATGTAATAAACTTTACATTTTCAAAGAACCTAACAATTCTTTGATGATAACTTTGCATTGTGGCAGTCCAAGATGATTTTAGTGGGCTCTGTTTTCACAGAGGAGTCCCAAGCGCTCGCTGAACATCAGCTTGGGTTAGCGTTGAGGGGGATGCTCGTTAAGAGAAGTGTAGACATCACACGTCCCTTGTGTCCCCAAACTGTGACTATTTATTGGAGGAGGCTGCTTCTCTTCCCAAGTGAACTATCAAAATATGAGAAGTAATTGGAGCTTCTGATAGTTCTGAGCAAATGGCTCTTAGCTGAAATTCCCTCCTGAAAAAATGCACAGTTTAAGTGAGGCTTTGCATATTACCTGTTTTTGACAGAGAAGAGGCTCTGATTCCTCAAAAGGAAGTAATAATGTAATTAAACTGGCCTGAGAGATTATTTGGCCCAGATTACAGTAACAATAGACTTCTCACTGGTTTACTTATTTTCTTGGTTCTTGTGCTTAGCAGAAACTATGGTTGCTATAGCTGGGTATAATTATTTGTGGGAACAAATGCACATACTGAAGGGTCACGGGTAGAAGTCTACAGAAACATTTCTCCACAACTTGTATGGTGTTGGGTGGAGACTGGCTGTGTGGAGACGATTGCACATGGCCAGCCATCCTGCTCAAACAGAACATCCTGCTCAAACAGAACATCTCTGACGGGTCAAGAGAGGGTGGGGAAACAAAGATTCTGCTTTCTTCTGTGTGTCACTGTTGTGAACTTTAAAACTTCCCACCCTGAAGATGACTTTCCATTAGCTTCCTTGTTGCCTCCCAAACCCAGTTGCTACCTCCGTTCTCTGGAAAAAAATAATAAATCTCCTTACTTCAGGGAAATTAATGTGTATTTAGAACTTTGTTTGGTTTAGCTCGTCATAAGAGGTTTGTACTATAACATTTATTTTTGTATACTCACTGTATAAATACATGTCAACCAAGAAGGAGAAAGATCTGCCAAATACAGTGGGGATTTGTTCTAGTAATATCTAGTAATATAACTTAGAGGTCAAAATGTAATATGTTAGAATTCAGTCTGTTTTAAATACTATAATAAAATCACCTGCTGCTATGTGGATGGAGGCACCCTGTCGGTATAGGAAAATATTCACAGTAGAATAATTGCCTCAGTGTCTTCAGGAACAGTCTATCATAAAACTGCTTTTAAGTTATAAGAACAGGCAGACATGTAGGACATGCTGTTCCCAACTGTACCACGGACACGCAGTGAGAGGTTGGGTGCAATGCTGCACCTCTGGGTGAGTGAAGCTAAGGTTTTCTGGGATTATGTAAACCTCACCTTTCTAAAGTAGAGGACTTTTTTGGAAATGGTTGTGCTTGAAAAGTCAGTCAAGTATTCGTACATCAATACATAAGCTTAGTTGACAGGTATGATAAAGGACAGGAGGATTTTTGTGAAGCTGAATTATGAAGACCTGTGATAATTTTAGTTCTCTGCACAGATAATTCTTTATTTTAAAACATCCTCCCCTTCCCCCCGCCCCGCGACACACACGTCGTACTAAGGACAAGAGAATGGCAGAAAAAGACAGGCTGAAATGTCGTGTTTCTGCATACCATGTGGTCCAGGCTTGCTGGGTGCCTTCTCCAGAGCACCGAGCTCCCCATGTGCCATGTCTCCTTGGGCAAACCGATGGTGCCTGGGGATGTGTCTAGGTTCCAGAATGACACCCCCCATCCCGGGAAGCTTCTGGGGTGGTTCTTGGCATGGTTTTAGGCTGGACTAAGTATTGCAAACTCCTCCCAGACATGGATCAAGAGTGAGGAGGTTCAAAGGGTCTTTCCCATTTTTCACATTTCCACCCTGGTTTAGAGGCCAGTTTAGTTTGCCAGTAGACATGTGCTTCAGTGGCTTAGTGTGCCTGTACATAGCCAGATAGGTGGAAGGAGCAAATTTCATTGTCTTATTCCTAGCCACCCAAGAAAGCTTGGGAAGACAACAAGAATTAGTCTAATTACTATTGTTCTAGATGAAACTTATTGCTGCTGGACTCTCCTCCTTGGTCAGGCTCCCAAATTCTCTCCCATATTTATTCCTGAAGCAAAAAAAACTGAATTGCCCCTGTTTTCCCTGCGGTTGGGGTGGGTTTGCTAGAAGTGATGAGATCCACTCCTCCCTCTGCCCTCCCTTTGGTGGTGCCTGTCTTTGCTTTAGACACATTTGGTTAGAATCAGCGTTGAACTGGCAGGGACTGAGCGCTGTTTGTGCTAGGAAATCTGCAAAGGTCCCACCCTGAGCGTGTGCTGAATTCGGCCAAGCACTGCATTTGTCTCCTCTTTTCTTGAATGGCAATGAAGAGGGATGATTTATGACTCTGGAAGAGATCCAGGACTGCACTAGGACAGCAGGTGTCCAGATGTATTGTACCTCTGAAATGTTTATAATTGGCAAATTTGTTTAAGTAAGAATTAGTGGAAAACAGTGCCTCTGCTAGTATTCTATTTTTCTTTTGTGTGTGTGTGTGCATGCTCATTCTTAAGCAATGACAGGCTTGGCCAGTAAGTGCCCAGATTTTTCATGAGGACTTGAAAGTTGAGGAAAAATAACAGAACTGGTTATGTATCAGATACGTTTAAAATCTCCAGGTTTAAGTCCATGGGCTACCTAAAAAACAATAGCTGATATCACACGCTAATAAATGTGTGTATGTGTATATTTGTATACTTATGCATATGTATAATTGTATATGCCTTTATGGGAAGGGTATGCATATATGCCAGTGTATGGGCAGATCTTTTATAAATGTGGCAGAATTTGAATTACATGATTTAAAGTAAACAAAATTTACTCCTTTAAATAAATAGGCAGAGAAGAGAGAGATGATCACATGCTCATTTGCAAAATGAGCCCTAACCCCAAATGCTTTGGGGTAATTTCTGCACTTCAGCATAACAGCCTGAATGTCATTTTCAAGCCAATCTGTGGGTTAGCTAGGGTAGAAAAAGCGGGAATTTCCACATGGAAGAGAAAATTATAAGAGAAAATTGCAAGAAGTTTAAAAAGCAAATCAGTCAAACTTAGGAAAGCTTAGGAAGCTTAGGCTTAGGAAAACAGACTTCATTCCTTCAGTTCGTGTTTTCACAGCAACTGTATGCAGTGGACTTAAATTGGAATGTTTAACGTTTTGAGAACACAGAGCTCATATGATAGTTCCCTGAAATAGCTCCTTTGTCTAAGAGAGCCTCTGGGCCGCAAAATGCTTGTCAGTCCAGAGCAATGTTCGTAAATACAAAACCACTTAAATACAGGTGGATTTTGGGAGAGGACTTGCATGTAGCCTTGTGGTTCTGAGTGAACTAAAGGGAGATATGAATCGCCTGTCCACTTCTTCTGAAGTTTTTTCTGTATTTCCAGCTGACAAAACAGTTGCCATTTGTTTATCATTCGTCATTGCTATTATGTTTTTTGTATTTTAATTACATATTTGGACAATAAGCAATAAAAGATTTGACTCCTATGTTAAAATA